GTAATAGTTTAAATTCAAAGTCAGTGGTTATTATAAATTTACTAATACGTAAACATTGTAGTTCTAAAAAAATTTTTTTTTGTTAAATATTAATTTTTATCAACAATAACTTCAGCACAAAAATAATTACTTATTTTAAGAGAATAATAATAATTATTATTTTAATAAGTTGAAGGAAAATTTGAGTTTGGTGTAAATCTGGATATATGTGGGTATTTTTAGTAATTACATTAAGTTGTGAGAATGTAAACGTTGGCAGTTGGAATTACACAAATAATAAACTTGGATATATTGTTGTGTGTATTTAAAAATATCCCCTTATTAGCTCGATATTGTTATCTTATTTTACTGTATATTGTAAAAGCAAGACTGTTAGTGTATACTACTTTTGGTGCGCTATTGTTAATATAATAACCACCATCATGCAAAATTCATCAGAGTACGTCGGACACATGTTAACCGAACACTTTTTGATGGTCGGAATAACCGTTATCCGTTTTCATTATCAAATGTATATAATTATTGAATTAAAGTTAATGATTGACTATTTAATTTTTGTAAGTGATCACTTATACAAAATATTAATAAATGTACATGTATTTAATATGTAACTCGGGTTATATTAATACTATTGGCCAAACAGGTTTAATTAAAAAAAAGTGAATTAAATTTTAAAATGTTTTAATGTCTCATTATTCAATACTTGAATGTTATAAGCTAATAAATAAATGTAAATATTGTATCTATTACTTTTATAAACAAAAGTAATAGGGGTAATATTATAGTGTAGAAATATCTATTAGTGAAATTTCTATTCAGATTATATAGTTTAAAATTAAACATCGAAGTTGAAAAAAAAATATAAGTATTTTATTAAAACATCAAACGCAATTCTAAATTAAATATTTATTCGTGATATTTTATAAAACTATATTTTTAATATTAATTCAAGATTAATTTCAAAAATTAATTTAAAAATGCGAAAAGGTTCACCAAATGATTGATATATATATATTTATTAAATATTTAAAAATGTTCTACCAAAAAAAAAACAATATTTATTAAATAAAGTTGATTAATTTTAAATGTTCAATAAATATTTAATTCACATTTTTTTGCTGTGTGGAAATATTTACAAAAATCGAGTAACTTTGAGCTGGACTCTACTTAGAGTTCTATGATATAGTGTTTGCTTTTCATTTTCAAAAAAGTAACGCTGAAATAATATAAATAAAGGTTGATTTCTATTATTAATTTTTAATTGTTTGCATTATTTAGAAACATTTTTATGTCACGCATACATCTATCTGTGCTATGAACTAGAATGTGATAATCTTCATCAATTTTTAGATCCATAAATAAGAATTGTATTTTATTATTTAAGCCGAAGAGATTTCTGTACTCTTTTTTAGTTATATCTATGTGATGTTGGACATATGAATTTCTAATTTGAGATAATTCAAACGGTTCTGAATATTTAAATATATTTTGTGGAAATGTTACTTCGAATTCATTGGAATTTTCATATTTATTTTTTCTTTTATTAATTTAAATTGTTCTATTTGTGGATAATCATCGATTATACTAATTTTTTTTAGAGCTTGACTTTACTTAGAGTTCTATGATATAGTGTTTATTTTTCATTTTCAAAAAAGTAACGCTGAAATAATACAAATAAAATTTTTAAAAATTATAATTACGATTTCTAGAATTTTTAAAAATTTTAAATTATGAAAAAATGTAATATTATATTAATATTATCCATTAATTATTA